TTTTTTTTTTTTTTTTTTGTAGAGGTAGAGTCTCACGATGTTGCCCAGACTAGTCTAGAACTCCTGGCCTCAAGGATCCTCTTGTCTCTGCCTGGGATTACAGTGCTAGGATTACAGGCATGAGCCACCACACCCAGTCTTATATATTATGTTTGAAAATCAACGAACAGAAGTCTTTTTTCATGTATAAGTGCTTAAATTAAAAGAAAGTACCAGAGGAATTGATAGTGGGGAGGAAGAAGTGAACCACAGATACCTGAGATGGGGTCACATCAACTGCTTCACCCTACACCCCATCCTCAGGGTCTGAAACACAGCCCCACGCTGGGTGCTTGTAAGGATGAGCAGCAGCAGTGGCAAAGCCTCAGCCCAGCAGCTGCACACATGAGCGCCTCACAGACGGGGGGAAGGGGAGTTCTCACTAGGAGGCCATGCAGGGAAACCAGCACGGCGGTACCAGCCTTTAGGGCTGTGAGGACCGCCTGAGTACTTCTAGAAGGCACAAGGAAAGGGGCCTAGCACACAGTATGTGCTCGGGACGTGGCAGCCCATTTTTAAAAAATTCATGCAACTGATTTGCCACCCAGCTTTGAGGATGAGATTCAGGGAGACGTAAGGGAAGGGGGAAATAAACACGGCCTTCCCCCTGACCGGCCCTGGGGCCTCAAACCGGCCAAAACCAACCCGCTGTCTGCAGGCCCTTCTGGAAAGCCCCGACAGGCTGAGCCAGGAGCTGATGGCCGCTGAGGGTAGGGCTCCTTGTCCGGGCCGAGGCCCAGCTGAGGCCCCAGGCAAGGACCCTGTGCTCAGAGGTCCCTGCAGTGGGACCTGCACCCTGGGTGCTGCTGAATGGCAGCTCTCAAAACCACAGATCTCGAGGAAGGAGTCAGACAAGGGGCACAGAGTTGGGGCAGGGGACTGAGTACTTACTGCCGAGTTCTTCCTGGGTCTGGAATCTGCAAGAAGCAAAGAACATTGTACACCTAATGCTGAATTGTACCCCAAATCTTTAAAATTAAAAAAAAAGAGCAGCGACTTGACCAAGGAGAGTCTGGGAGCTACCTTGCCCTGCCCCACATTGCCCGTGGGCAAATGACCCCTGGATCACAGGTGGCAATGTGTCTGGCCCAGGTGTCAGGACCCCAGAACAAAGAGTATGGATGGGACTCAGAGCTGGAGCCCACACCAAGCCCGGGGCACGGGGTCTTGAGTCCTGACACTCCCTTCTCCAGGGGCAGAGGAAGAACCGACACCCCCGCCACACTGTCATCCTGAGTGTCTAAGCCAATGAACGCACTGAAACCACCCCCCCAACTCATGCACAAGGCTTGGTCCAGGAGAAGCACTGAGCCCAGGAGGCTCCCGCTGGGTTGGAGGGTAGTCTGTGGCTGCTGCAGGCCCCTGCAGCCTCCAGGGTATGGAGAGGCCACAGGAGGACCTCCAGCCAGTGACAGAGAGAGGGTAACGGAGCCTGCCTCGGACATGTCTGGAGCCTGTCTACCAGGGAGCCCTTCTGGCTCCAGCCTGAGCTCGGGTTCCTCTTCCATATGCCTGAAGGCTCCTGGACAGCAGCATCTGAAGAAGACACCAGCCCTAGGTGATCTCACATCCCTTGAACCCCAGCTTCTACAGACTCAGGTACTGGAGTAACGATTCTCAAGGCAAGACCGTCACCTTCTCATCTCAAACCCCCACCCTCTGCTCCTCGTTTCCTCATATTAAGCAGGGTCAAGTCAGGGCCAGGCGCACGCTGACACCTAACCATGGCTTCTTGGCCATCTGAGAAGGGTGAGGGGCACCTGGGCGTCCAGTGCCTCCTGGGCCACGTCCACTCCCAGCACAGACCAAACTCCAGGAATGCACGGTCTTTAACCGCTCCCTAGGACACCACCTTGAGACCTGAACTATGCTGTTAACCGTGCATCCTGCTGGGGCCAAGAAACCGGGTGCCAGTCACGTTGCCTCCTGCATTCACTGTCTAATTTGGCCACTCCAGAGCCATCAGCCCTGAACACCAGCTGATGCATTCACTGACAGTCGATCAACAAATAAGATGACATACAGATGAGATCGGCAGTTTGAGCATGCTGTGCAGACACTAGGAGAGTTGGGAAACATTCTTGGGGTATTTTTGAAAAGATTGTCAGGCTGGGCACTGTGGCTCGGCCTGTCATCCCAGCGCTTTGGGAGACCAAGGTGAAAGGTTTGCCTGAGCCTGGGTTTCAAGATCAGCCTGGGCAACTTGGTGAGACCTCGTCTCTACAATAAATTACAAAAACTAGCAGGGTATGGTGGCATGCATCTGTAGTTCCAGCTACTTGGAAGGTTGAGGCAGAAGGATCACCTGGGCCTGGCAGGTCAAGGCTGCGGTAGCCATGAGCGTGCCACTGCACTCCAGCCTGGGCGATAAGAGTGAGACTCCAACTCAAAAAAAAAAAAAAAAAAAGAAAAGATCATCAGCATGTAGAAAATGTCTCCCGGGGAAACGGCATGCTTGGGCTCACCTTAACAAACGTACCGACCTTACTTAACCCATAACCACTGTCCCCAGCAGAGCGGCCGCCTCAGAAGGCCATGGCTTGTTCCTTCGAGACAGCTACTGTCTGCTAGTAAGCCACCACTTGGAGACATGCTCTCTGACCTGAGGCGCATTCTTTTAAATGAAGTCAGGGAAGGCAACTATGATCCTTCCGGAGTGATTTGGAGTTCTGCAAACAGTCAACCCTTATTTGGTGCCAAGTCTCTGAGGAGACCAAGAAAAAAAATGTGTGACAAAGTAACAAAACAAAATAAATCAAAATGGTAAGCCTCGGTCTTGGAGAGGAAGCGGGTAAAAAGGATTGCCGAGCTGCCCATGCCCTGCACGTTGGCTCCATTTTTCTAGAGAGCCATCCGGCAGTAAAAACCTCACACACTCTGACCTAGTCAACCCACTCTGAGGAACATACCCTCAGGAAATAACCCAAAGGCAAACAAAAAGGCTGTGTGCAGCGGTGGTATTTAAAATAACCAAGAACTTGAAAACAAGCCAAGTGCCAAACAATGTGGTAGCTTTGCCATCCCAGAGCTGGGCGCCTCAGCGGTGAAACTCTGCACAGTGTCACTTCCCTTCACCAGGCCTCGGTCCTCACGTCTACACATGGGGACGGTCACACCAACTTCGGGGGTTTTGTGAAGTTCAATGAACTTTCAAGAGTGAAGGTGCCCAGAGAGAAATCACATTGAGAGTAGAGACTTTGATCTGACGAGGTAAGAAGGGCACTTCATCTCTGTAGTCTTCCTTCCCCAAACCATAGCCCCAGTCTAATCACCAGAAAGCCAGACAGATTCCAGTACAGGGATATCCTGCAAAAGACCTGATTAACACTCTTCAAAACTCTGGCCAGGTGCCTGTAATCCCAGCACTTTGGGAGCCGAGGTGAGAAGATTGCCTGAGCCCAGAAGTTTGAGACAAGCCTGGGCAACATAGCAAGATCCCATCTCCACACACACACAAAAAAAATCAAAAAATTAGCCAGGCATGGCTTTTAGTCCCAGCTCTCAGGAGGCTGAGGCGGATCACCTAAGCCCAGGAGGTCAAAGTTGTGGTGAGCCAAGAGAGTGCCACAGCACTCCAGCCCCGGGCGATAGTGTGAGATCCCACCTCAAAAAAAAAAAAAGAAGAAAAAGACACTGTCAAGGCCATCAAGATCAAGGAAAATGTCACAGACTAGAGCAGTCTAAGGAGACGTGATGATTAATTGTAGCATGGGATCTTGGATAAAATCCTGGAATACGAGGGAAAAACAGAATAAAGTACACATGTTACTTCATAGTAATGTGTCAATATTGTTCACCTATTATGACAAATTTACCATACTAATGTAAGATGTCCATAACAGAGGAAACTGGGTGTGGGTATATGGGAATTCCTACCTACTTCTCAAGTTTTCTGTAACTCTAATACTATGCTAAAAAATGAAGTCTACTTCGAGTTTTTTTTAATTTTTAAAAATTTTTTTAAATTAAAAGTTTTCAAAAGTTAAAATATTAAAAAGGAAAGGTGCCCAGGATGCTGTCTAGCACACAGGATGCCAGAAGCGTTCAGGATGGTCACAGGGCTAGGCACTCTGTCGCACTGAAAAGTAAATCAGCATATGATCCCAACTCTCAAAAACAAGGGCAAAATGGCAGAACCCAGAAGGTAACAAGGTAAAAAGGCAGAACCCAGAAGCTTCCGACAACTGCCTACAGTCATGTTACAACCCACGAGTACTTTCATAAAGACTCAAGACAAATCTCGCCAAGTACAGAGGTCAAATTTCGTAAGTGTTTTCCCCTTAAAATGTTGCTTCAATCTGCTGTCCTGATTTATTGATTTCCTTGCTGTTTGGAATAACTACCATCTTCTCATAAGACCAGCTGGCAGCCCAGGACACGAATCCAGGAACACGTTGGGCAGCGGTGGCCCCTGGGGTGAGTGCCTGGTCTCCCTGGCTACTCTGAAGCCAGGCTCACCGGGCACAGGAGTCCCGGCACATGACTTCAAGCTCTCTGTCCCTTCCACCCCTGATGTTCTTTCCTTTAGTGCACCCCCCCCCCCACACCCCGGTCTGGGATTCCCCAACTCTGCGGGAAGCAGAACAGGCCCAAGGAAGGAGCTTTGGCTCAGAGGTTCAGCCAGGCTTTGGCAACAGGCACCCCTAGACCCAAACCCCGGGCTCCTTGGAGAGATGGCTGATTCCCGGGCTGGGGCAGGAGGGAACGAGACGAGCTGGGGACATCCTAGACAAGGGAAGTGCTCAGACACGAAAAGTGAGGACATGTCAAAAGGACGCAGGAGCCAACCTGGAGGGCTCTCACGGACCTCATCTGGACAACTGGCACTTCAAAATAAGTGATGATAGTGACAGATTACAACCCGGTGAGCAGAACGGAGCTCCATGAGGCGCTACCGGTAGGAAAGTGAAGAAAATGAAGATGGGATGCAGAACTGGTTACTGACATCGTCTCCAAGTATCTCCCCTCAAAAAACTCAGTGGTTCCCAAGGAGAAAAGAGTGACCTCAGAGGCCTGGCGGACACTACCTCCATCCAGCACTCAATGTGCACAGCACCAGGAGAGGGACAGATGGATGCCTGGCAGAATGCCCAAGAGAGCCCAGCGTGGCTTCTGGGACCTTTCAACCCAAGATGCGTGACTTGCATCCATTTCTGAGAATGGACAAACCCAAAGCGAGGGGCACCATGAAGCCACTGGCCTGTGCTCTTCCCAAGTCAAGCCTAAGAGAGTAGCAGGGTTGCTGGGGAACTGGCCCAGACTGCAGGACATGCAGGAAACCGGACAACCAGGTGTGAAGTGTCGCTCTGAACTGGCGCCATCTGCTGCAGAGGACATTTACTGGGACAAATGAAGAAACCTGAATGGGGCCTGAGAATTCACTGGTGGTCATGAATCAATGTGGATTTCCTGATTCTGATGAGTTTACCATCATCACATAAAAATATGGCCTTCCTTCTGTGACATACACACTGGAATGGTTTGGGGCTGACGGGCATGGAGTCAGTCAGTTGCATGTGAATGGTTCCAGGCAAAGTCGGTTCTGTGAACTGCACTTGCAGCATTTCGGTAAATTTGAAATTGTTTCAAAACAAAGAATGTTTTTTGACCTAAATCTGCCTGAAATAACAGATAAGGACTCAAGAGCCCATCGAAATGAAGGATGAGAGAATTTTAGACCAGGGTTCTCAACCAGCAGCAGGAGTGGTTTCCCCAGGGGCCATGTGGCAATGTCTGGAGACATTTTTGGTTATCCCGACGGGAGGCTGGGGTGCCACTGGCATCTGGTGAGCTACTCTACATCCAGCGGTGCACAGAACAGACCCTCCCCTTCTCCCCCCCAGCCTCCCGCCAAATGACACATTCCCAAATGTGCCAAGGGTGAAAAGCCCTTTCAGTGACAATCTGGACAGCCACAACAAAATCCTAGTCCTCTGTGAAATGGAGGTAAGAACAGTAAACCCCTCACAGGTGGCTAGAGGAATACTATGAGAGCACATTCGTGCTTGGCAAATGTCTGTCACCAAGGACACACACGGAAGAGTCACATCAATTGAGGGCTGGCTGGCGAGCACCCTAATTGCACTGCAGACCCCAGACCCCTAGTGTGCTCAGCTGGGACAGTTTCCATGCCCAGCATAGAGCCTGCACCAAGGATGGACTCCATGAAGATGATCTGATCAGATGAATGCATGAACAAATGAATGCATGCTTTTTCACTCCTCACCACCCACTGCCCCCAAGGGAGTGGGGCCCCCGTTCTGTTCAGTCTGTTCTCACTATGTGTCCTGAAAGCTTGCACATGTCCTAGCTTCACCTTCCTTCCATCTCGAGCCTGGAACCCAGGCCCAAGGGCCCCACCAGAAGCTAGGTTGCCAGATACTGCCTGAGACAGGCCGTCCACCATTGGGCCGTCCATCACTGGGCCATCTACCACTAGGCTGTCCACCATTGGGCCATCCACCAATGGGTCGCATATCACTGGCATGTCCACCACTGGGACATCCACGATTGGGACATCCATGATTGGGCTGTCCACCACTGAGACGTCCACAGTTGGGGTGTCCACAGTTGGGCCGTTCACTGAAGCCATCCATCATTGAGTCTCTAAGATCAGTTCCTTGTTGATCTGGCTTCTTAATGGAAGGTGTTTTTTTTCTTTCTTTGGTTTTTTCTTTTTTTTCTTTTTGTAGCAAAACTGCCTCACAAAGGTTTGATGAAAAAAATAAACTGACGGCAATGGAAATTCTAATACTAGAAAAATGTCAAGAAAGCAAATGCCGGTTTCAATGAGACATTGGGCTTGACAGCTCATGGAAACAGGCTTGAAACTACCAAAACACAAAAACCCCCCTTGCAAAGGGAACACAGGCGCTTGCTTGTGAAACTCATCTAATTCAAAACATGCCTCAGTGGACTGTGTTTTTGTGCCCAAGTCAACAGTCAGCCTCCTGCAAGGTTCTCCAAGGGTCTCAGGCACATTGGGGGACACAGGAATGGACGAGGCTCAGGCTGACCATGGGGCTCTTGAATGAGCCTCAGAGTGGTGGACAGGGCTAGTAGGAGGAAAGAAGAGGGGGCATGGCGGAGCCGACTACAGACCCAAACCTTAACTGGGCAAATCTCCAAGGACCAGCGCCTGAACCTGGCTGTGCTGCTTGCAGGTTGTGTGGTCCTGGAGCAGTCATCCACCTTCCTGAGCCCTGTCTCCTCATTATGAAATGAAGATCATCACAGGGAGGAGTCAGTGAGGCCTGCCTTACAAACCAGAAAGAGAGGCTCAGAAAACTCCCCCCCATCAGGGCCCAGCACACAGTGGGTGCTCAGTCGATGCCGTGGAGAGCTGAGGAAGACCTTGGCCTGCCTTGAAGGGGGTGCCCAGGAATGGGAAGCTGTTTGTCGCAAGATGGCTGGGACCTCCCCCAAGATGAGCACTGAGAACCCTGGCCAGGATGGGTGGGGAGGTCACGACTCTGGAAGGCTGCCTGGAAGAGCCGGCCTGAAGGCTAGACAACGATCAGAGAGCAAGGACCAGGAAAGGGTTCAGATCTGCCTAGGACTCAGGTGAGGAAAAAGGCCCCAGAGGCAGGCCAGCCTGCCAACACAGAGCAGCCACTGACCATGGGCCAGCACTGACCTCAGGCAGGCACTCCACACGACGCTCAACATCCTCCCTCAACCCACAGGCCAAGCCTCTGAAGTAGGTTCCACTGTCCCCGTTTTACAAATGAGGAAACTGAGACACAGGAACTAAGTAACTTGCCCAGAGTCACATGGCAGGTAAGTGGCAGAACTAGGGCTCCAGCCCTGTCAGCCTGCCCTCCTGGCCCATACGTCCCTTGCACCCCTGGGCTGACTTGCCAGGTGGTCGGAGGGAAGCAAGAAGAAGGCAAAGGGGGAGGAGAGAGAAAAGGAAGAGGGGGGAGAGAGAAGGGGAGGGAGGAATAAGGAGAGAAAGAAGGGAGAGAAAACAACAGGACAGGAAGGTCCGTGCGGAGGAAGGAACGAAAGACAAGCCTTCTGAACCTTCTCACCCATTTAGCTCCATCCAGCCCCGACAAGGCAGCCTCACCATCTGAGGCATCACATTCCCACCACGGGGGAGGCTGGAGAGAAAGGCCACAAAGAGGAAGCCCGAGGCTGGGCCAGCAGAAGCTCGGCCTCCGGAGCCCACTCCCCAGAGCCCCTGGACTGCTGGACACTCACCTGTGGACTCCAGCTTGGGCTGGATGGTCGGGACCGGGTAGCACAGGTGGAGCTCTGAAATGACATCAGGATGAGGGCTGGGGTGCCGGCCTCAGAGAGCGGGGTGGGCAGCGGAGGGACCCCGGTCAGGCTAGCAGAGAGCAGCCTCCTCCCCAGGGCCTAAGGCCACAGCCACTCACTCTGCCGAATCCGCTTCCTGCAGGCCCTCCGGTGGCACAGGAGAAAGATGCTGGAGCCAGCCACCACCAGCAGCAACATCATCACCCAGAAGAGCACTGGTCCTGGAACACAGAGGAGCCCTGCACCCTGCATCGCTGCATCCACACAGGACAGCCCTAGCCCCATACTACTTCCTCCTTCTCCTGGGACATGGAGAACAATACCTGATCCTTTCCCAAGCCAAGACCGTACCTGATCCCGCCCTGACCTACCTACCCTCCCTCACCTGGCTCCAGAAAGTGCATCAACTTAAGTTGAAAGAAGAGCAAACCATTTCTAGAGGCTGAGAAGCTGAGCATCAAGGAGCCAGAATGAAGAAGGAACTGAAGTCCAAAGACCAAAGTCTGGGGACCGCAGGGAAGGGCATGGTGTGACAGGCACCTGGCAGCCCTTCAGGTGTGGCCAGAGCCAGAGTGAGGAGGTCAGGCAGTGAGCAGGGGGAGGGGGTGAGGTAGGAACGACCCTCTAGACCTCCTCCATGAGGGCAGGCACGGGGTCTCCTCCACACATATACAGGCTCAGTAAGTGTCCCCCAAATGAACGAATCAACTATCCTATGCCCTCGGCACCCCTACTGTCCCACTTTACAAGAGGGAAACTGAGGCCCGTGAAGGTTCATTATCCTAAGATCACCCCAAGGGTAGGTAATAAGTTCTGGCTCAGGCCAGGCAAACTTCAGAGCTCACGCCCTGAGCTGCTCCCCAGGTCTGTTTCTTTACATCTTAGTACTAAGCTTGCTTCCTTTTTTCCTTTTGTCACTCGCAGAGATCATCTGTCTATTGGGTTTTAAGTCCATTTTTAGATGTCAAAAAAATAACATATACCAGCCAGGCTTGGTGGCTCATGTCTGTAATCCCAGCACTTTGGAAGGCTGAGGCAGGAGGACTGCTTGAACCCTGGAGTTCAAGACCAGCCTGGGCACCATTAGCTGGGTGCGGTGGCATGCGCCTGTAGCCCAGCTCTCGGGAGGCTGAGGTGGAAGGATCGCCTGAGCCCAGGAGGTCAAGGCTGCAGTGAACTGTGATTATGCCACTGCTCTCCAGCCTGGGCAACACAGAGTGGGATGCCTGAATTAAAAAAAAAAAAAAAAAAAAGGAGGAGGAAGTATACCGGTAAAGGACTCCTCAAACTTTAAGGGGCATATGAATCCCCTAGATAGTGTGTCAGAATGCAGCTTCTGATATTGTAGGTCTGGGGTGAGGCTAATCACTTGGTTTTCTAACAAGTTCCCAGGAGGGTGCCAAGGCTGCCAGTCAGGATGGCACTTTGAGTACTGGCCTGACAACTAGCGCCACCTAGTGTTGACAACTAGAGCTGCAAGTCCTAAAATGAATTACCAGGTATCATTTCCTGAGAGCTAACACTTAAGCGAATGTCTACAATGTGCTGTGTAAGATACTAGCTACACACTGTGCCGCTTACAACCCTGCATGGTCTATGCCATTACCATTTCACGACGAGAAAGCTGAGGCTCAGAGGAATTAAGCACCTAGTCAAGGTCGTGAAATCATTCAACAAATACCTATTTTCTGAGTAGCAATTATGAGCCATGAAGGAAAATGTCCTGCTCACAAGAGTGGAAAAAAGTCACTGGCAAGTGACAGAGCAGCCACAGCCCCAACTCAGGAAGCCAGAAACCTGGAGTCAACCTAGAGCCCATCCCAGGCCACACGCATGAAGGAGAAGCTTCCCTCCCAGCCCTCTGGGAGGAAGCTCCTGCTGGGGACGTAGGATCATCACCTGGATCCAAAACGGGCTTTCCTGTAGAAGAGAGAGAAATGGGTGCGCTGGTCGGGACGGGCAGTGTCTTGCTGGCCTGGGAGTCCACCAGGGAGTTCAGGGTGGCGGTGGGGCTGTGGAGGAGAAGCCAAGATGGAAAAGGGGAGTGTGTGTGCCCAAAGATAATCCCCTTTCTCTAGGAACTGTGTAGCTGAGGCTGGGTCCCCAGATCTCTGCCAGGCATTTGAGGGCAGAGACCGGGTTTTTAGGCCTCTGGCTTTCCAGTGGTGCCAGCGCAGAGATGGACACACATTCCCCAAAACAACAGCGCTCGCCCGCCTCCACCCCCAACCCAGCCATCCTCAAGTATCCCCTGAGCATAGTGGGGGCAGCCCCATCCTGCAGCAGGCAAATGGGCACAAAGGCTGGGGTGTCACCTGGCAGGCGCCTCGCTGTTCTCTGGGGTGGTGCTGCAGTCAGGGTGGGTGCCCAGGGGAGGCAGCTCAAAGGTGGAGTCCCTCTCGGCCACACCTGCAGGGATGGCAACGTCTGAGAGTCAAAGACTTGGCCAGCAGGGACTGGAGATTCCCAGGAGCAGCACAGTGGGTGCTGATTGAGATCATCAGATTTGTGTTTCAAAGATCAATGCAGAGAAGCTGCTACTCAGCTCCCACATCTGGACAGTGGCCTAGTGACCCTAGAGTGTCTTTATTTAAGAGAAACCTAGCTGGGTGTGGTGGCTCATGCCTGTAATCCCAGCACTTTGGGAGGTGGAGGCTAGAGGATTGCCTGAGCCCACAGGTTCAAGACCAGCCTGGGCAACATGGTGAGACCTCATCTCTACGATAAATAAAAAAAATATCCAAGTGTGGTGGCACATGCCTGTAGTTGCAGCTCCTTGGAAGGATGAGGCAGAAGGATCGCCTGAGCCCAGCAGATCAAGGCTGGAGTGGCTATGAGCATGCCACTGCACTCCAGCACTCCAGCCTGGGTGATAGAGTGAGACCCTGACTAAAAAAAAAAAAAAAAAAAGAAGCCACAAACTTCCTGATACTTAAAGTACCATCAATTTTAAGATTTTTTTTAATCCACTTTATTGAAGAGATAATTTGTATAACAAGAAAGTATCCCCCGAATGTACAGTTTGATGAATTCTGACAAATATAACTCCAATCAAAATACAGAGCCTTCCCCTCATCCCAGAAAGTTCGCCAGTCCCCTCCTCACCCAATCCTCTCTCCATCTCCAGCCCCAGGCAAACACTGACCTGCTTTATGCCATATGGATTTGTTTGTCTGTTCTAGAATTTTTTTTTTTTTGAGTTGGAGTCCCTTTGTTGCCCAGGCTGGAGTGTAGTGGCACAATCATGGCTCACTGCAGCCTCAATCTCCAGGGCTCAGGCGATTCCTCCTGCACGCCATCATGCCCGGCTGCTTTTTGGTCTCAATATGTTGCCCAGGCTGATCTCGAACTCTTTGCCTCAAACAATCCTCTCACCTCAGCTTCCCAAAGTGCTGGGATTACAGGCGTGAGCCACCATGCCTTAGTCTCATATAGACAGAATCATGAAACCAGTACTTTTTGGTGTCTGGTTTCTGTCACTCAGCATAATATTTCTGAGATTCACTGATGATGCAGGTATCAGTAGTTCATTCCTTTTTATTGCGAATAGCGTTCGGTTGTGTAGAGGTACCACAGTATGTGTATCCATTCCCCAGTTGATGGACACTGGGTTGTTTCCAGTTTGAAGTTATTATGAACAAGGCAGCCATGAGCATTCTTTGTTTGGACATATAATTTATTTCTCTTGAGTACCTAGTGGGGGTGGCTGGGTCACTGTACTGGCCAGCCAGAATAGCTTTAAGGGCCTATTTATAGCTGGTCACCTTTGGTCTGGCCCAGTCACCTCCTTTTACAGATGGAGGGACCACAGGGCTGGAGCTACAGCCAGAACACAGGGATGACACGTTGCAGCCCAGGGCACTCTCCACTGGACCGCACCACCTCCTGCCTGGGGACTGGGCACCGTCTTCCAAGCTCGCGATCAACTGCTTTTCTGAGGCAGGAAAATTTGACCCACATTTGAAGCAGGTCATGCCCAGCCACTACACCTCTCCGCCTCCACAGCCCTGGTGGCGGCACCCCTTCTTTGATGTGGTACAAAGCAACCCCCTCACACATACACACATCTTCCTTCTAGAAAGTTCTCGGGACGTCTCTCAGATTTTTCCTGAAACACTTAGACCAAAGAGTGAGGCCAGGAGTAATTTCCTTCTTGCATGTGTAGGGTCCTGAGAAACTGTCCCCTTTTGGGGGGTGGTTCTCCAAACAGATGCTCTATCTTTCCATGTGGTCACCAGACTATTACTTGAATTCGTTGCTTGGAGGCTGGAGGCTAGCCCACTCACCGGGGCTATTCCTGGTTGGCACCAGGAGGAGAGAGCCTTCTGACATCTCTCCAAGGCAGCCTGGTGCAGCCAGACAGGTCCATGGTCGGAGCTGCTGCTGAAACATCTGCTGGAATCCAGCGACAGACATGCTGTCCCTCCTCCAAGTGCAGGTGAATTTGGTGCTCCTTAAGGGCCTCTCATCCCCTCTGTTTGTGCCACACCTCTCCTGGAACCTTTCTTCTTCCTCCCTGGATTAGTGATCCTCTCTGGGGGGGGGGGAGCAGAAGGCATTACCTAGCCTCCTCAGTCTACCCGTGTTCTCTAGTAAGAAAAAAGGAACCTGCCTACTCTCAGTCTAAATGTAGGAACTTAAAAATATATATATTATCATCAGAGGAATATACTGCTCTTTAAATCCAAGCACCTGACCCTTGGGCCATTTGATGAATGGTCCTAGCATAAGGTCAAATGGACTCTCTTTTTGTACGTCCAGCAATTGCTTAAAATCAGCTTTTTCTTTTCCCTGGAGTCTTTGATTGCCTTTCTTTTTCTTGTTGATAAAAGAATAGTGTGCCTTCACCATAATCTCAGGTTTTCAACTCTACAAATCATGAAATTTACAGCAATCCTCCCTTTTTTCCTGGAGACACTTCCTTGCCGTTCTCCATTTTCCTGCTGTGATCTGGTTCAACTGGTCACAACACAGCTGTTGTTCTGGGACTTCCCTTTCTTGTTCCCCTAGGATAGAGTCACTGTTTTCTAGATTCCATGGTTTCCTGTTTTTGTTTTTTGTTTTGCCCCTTCATTTAGCTGAATGACATCTTCAAATAACTTTGTAATACAGAAAGAATATATGAGGAAAAGCTTTCCAGACTCTTTATGTCTGAAAATGTTATTATGCCTCCTTCAAACCTGATTGTAATTTAGCTGGGTAAATTCTAGGTTCAGAACTAAGAAGGAGAGGGTGTGGTTCAGTGAAGAGGGCTCTGGGCCCACCCTTGAAATCCCTGAATCTGGCTCTAGCTTCGGCCCCATGGTTCTCTCCATGTGTAAAACAAGGTGGCAGGGTCAGATCGAAAGTGACCAACTTTGACCAGCCCTCAAAGACATTCTGACTGTGTGGCCAGCACAGTGACCCAGTCACCCCTCCTAGGTGAGAATCCACAAGAAATGAAAGTGTATACCCACCCAAAGATTTGTACAAGAATATTCACAGCTGCTTTCTCATCACAGGCCTAAACTGGAAACAATCCAAATGTCATCAACTGGTGGATGGAAGGATAGATGGATGGATGGATGGATAGACGGATGGATGGTTGGAGGTGTATCTGTTCTGCATAGGTGTGGCCAATTTTCATTCACTCTGCTTTACTGTTGGTAGGTTCTTTTGATCTCAAGTGTGTTTTTCAGGTCAAGTGCACAGAGAAAGTTGGGCTGCCGTTGGGTGTGATGCCTGCAGCCACAGAGACCATGTCGGGCGGGCCTCAAGAAATGGGGTGCTGAAGCCCTGTGCCTGGTGGCAGATGTCCACAGAGGGTCAGGACACTTCTGGGGACACGAGGCCTGGCATGTGCTGGTATCTGTACTGGGAGGACCACGTCAAGGTGGTTACCGGGCCTCGGCTGGGGCTGTGAGGTCGCCGAGGGACTGCCGGCTCTGGGAGCACCACTGAGGCAGAGCACTGTGAACAGACAACTGCATCCACACACCCTGTGACCGACAGCAGCAGGGGCCAGAAAAAGCAAATGCAGTAAAAAGAAGTCACCTTCCTCCTGCAACGGCCCTCTTGCCCCCTCTACTGGCAAAAAAAGCTTTGCACTCACTGTGAAGGAGAAAGGCCAAGTCCAGTCCTTCCCCAGGCAGGGGCCCAAGGGTATTGGGAGCCCAGAGACAATGACTGGTAACAAGCACATGTTCTCAAAGCCATCTCCTGGCCTCTGATCTCTTACTATTCCTTCTTCAGAGATTTCGGCGCTCATTTGATGGATGCAACAACTTTGTTGCATCCATCAACAAAGTTTCTCTGAGGATGTGAATTCCATGTTGTTAAACTCTTGTCTATTCCTGTATTTCTCATTGCTTTATCTATCGTAAGATTTTCCAGTTTTCCATTCTGTTGTTTTCCTCCATTGGCTGGTTGTCCTCACAAGTCTGAAGCTCTCTGCTGCTTGTTCATATTTATTTTAAAAAAGACTGTCGGTTGCAGTGGCTCACGCCTGTAATCCCAGCACTTTGGGAGGCTGAGGTGAGTGGATTGCCTGAGCCCACGGGTTCGAGACCCACCTGGGCAGCTTGGCGAGACCTCATCTCTGTAGTAAATCAAAAAATTAGCTGGGCGAGGAGTACACACCTGTAGTTCCAGCTACTAGAAGGTTGAAGCGGAAGGATCGCCTGAACCCAGCAGGTCGAGGCTATGGTGGTCGTGACCGTGCCACTGCACTCCAGCCTGGGTGACAGAGTGGGACCAACTCAAAAAAAAAAAAAAAAAGGACTATGCTGCATCCGTCAACAGATGAATGGGTAACAAAAACACAACATACACACACAATGGAATACCATTTGGACGTGACAGCGAAGGAAATCACGTTTTTGCAGCAACATGAATAGAACTAGGGGGCATTATGTTATGTGAAAGAGGGCAGACACAGAGAGACAAATACTGCCTGTTCTCACTTGCAGGTAGGCACTACTTTGTGTACGCATGGAGGTAGAGAGTAGTGTAATAGACAAGAGACACTTGGAAAGGGGAGGGAGAACGGGTAATGAGACATTACTTAAGGGTTACAATGTATGTTATTCTGGATGGTGGATACTCTAGAGCCCCAACTTCACCACTACATGCAATCTAAGTATGTAACAAAATTACACTTGTACGCTATACATGCACACAAACAAAATGAAAATGACAACACAGAATATTCCCGTAGCTGGGGGCAGAGGGTTATTTTCTGCTGTGGTGCTATTTTATGCACAATGGGTCTCTTCCCCGAGTAGGATGTGGCCGGGAACCCTGGGCCCATGGCAGACGTGTGAGCTGGCAGTCTTCATTTTCGGGATGACTAGGAGGGGCTGGCCTATTGACAGGTGCCCATCCAAACCCCAGATGAAGGGGGCTTCAGCACAGTGACAGCACGCCACTTGGTGGCCTGAGCTTTCCCTGGATACTCCTGTGTCATTAGTCAAAAAGTGGATTGTTTTATTCATTTATTTATTTAATTTTTTTAATTTTTTGAGTCAGGGGTCTCACTCTGTCACCCAGGCTGGAGTGCAGTGGCACGATTATGGCTCATTTCAGCCTCGACCTCTTGGACTCAAACTATTCTTCTGCCTCAACCTCGAGAGGAGCTGGGACTACAGGCGCATGCCACAAGCCCAGCTAATTTTTAGATTTTTTTGTAGAGACCAGGTCTTGCTATTTTGTCCAGGCTTGTTTCAAACTACTGGGTTCAAGCAATCCTCCCGTCTTGGGCTCTCAAAGTGCTAGAATTGTGCCACCATGCCCAACCCCGATTGTTGTTACCAAACAATAAAACTCAAGCATTGTCTGTGCACTCTGGCCAGTGCCCATGCGGTGCCACTATGATGGATTGCTAAATCTTATTTCAAGATGTGGCCACAGCCCACTGCATTCCTCAACCCTCCACTCCAGGCGACCTGCCTGTTCAAACCCAAGCCTCTTGGAGGTCTTATAACAAGTTGCCCCTCATTCTCCTGCGGGAGATCTAGATGAGCTTTCCCTCCCTTGGTTTTCTTTATTAACACCTTTCCATCCCTTTTCAACCTTCTAGAAATTTGTGGAAATTTCTCATCTGCTGAAGAGCCCATTTAAAAAAAAAACCTGGCCGGGCACAGTGGCTCAGACTGTAATCCCAGCACTTTGGGAGGCCGAGGCAAGAGGATTACCTGAGCCCGGGGGTTTGAGACCAGCCTGGGCAACTTGGTGAGACTTTATCTCTACAATAAATCACAAAAACTAGCCGGGCATGGTGGCACGCATCTGTAGTTCTGGCTACTTGGAAAGGCTGAGGCAGAAGGATCGCCTAAGCCCAGCAGGTCAAGGCTGTGGTGGCCATGAGCGTGCCACCGCACTCCAGCCTGGGCGACAAGAGTGGGACTCCAACTCAAAAAAAAAAAAAAACACCTGTCAAGGATTTACGCTTTTTTCCACACTGGCAAAGCCCTCCCACCATCTTAAGTTGGAAACCTCTGTACAAACTCAATATCCATTTCTTTGAGTCAATAAAACAGCCTTGCAAATAAGTCAAGATTTTAGCAGCCAAATATTTTCAGGAAGAAGAAATGGAAAAAAAAAAAAATCATCAGAACTGCCAGGCATGGTGGCTCACGCCTGTAATCCCAGCACTTTGGGAGGCCAAGAGGGGTGAATTACTTGAGCCCAGAAATTTGAGACCAGCCTGGGCAACCTCATCTCTACAAACAAAAACAAAAACAAGTGTGGTGACAAGTGCCTGTAGCTCTAGCTACTCAGGATGCTGAGGTGGAAGGATTGCCTGGGGTCCAGGAGCTTGAAACCGCAGTGAGCCATAATCATCATGTTCACGCCACTGCACACCAGCCTGGGTGACAGAGTGAGACCCTGACTCCAAAAAAAAAAAAAAAAAAATCAGAACTTCTGAAGCAGGAGGATTCCTTGATTCCTGGAGTTCCAGATCAGCCTGGGCAACATTGTGAGACCCTCTCTTTTTTTTTTTTTTTTTGAGTTGGAGTCTCACTCTGTCACCCAGACTGGAGTGCAGTGGCTGCTCCCATTCACTGCAGCCTCGACCTGC